TTTCATCTGTAACAGTTGGTGTGGTGTACAATATCCATGAGAAAAAGCTGTCAACTGAGGTGAAGAGGGAGGGGCTTCACTCACAACCAAAGTAAATGCGCAAATGGATCTCTTTATGGTAGTCATGGAAACCAAATGGTGGTAAGCGTTGCCGGATTGACCGGTTCTAAAAGAAATATTTAGTCTTGAGGGAAACTTCGAGTTCGAGGAGAGACAAAACTCACTATTCCCCATGGGGGTCAGTCATTTTTTTTTTTGTCATACCTCCTAACTAAAAAATATTGGACTGGCACACAAGTTTGCCGCGGTTTCAAGGAGCGTGACCTTATTACGTGCGAGTTGAAAGTTCAAGTTGTTGTTTGGGAGCACGTATTACGTGTCACGTTCTCCTCCAATCGAAAAACGTATACTTGAGTTGGGAGGAGTAACAACAGAGTTTTGAGATCGAGGACCCAATATATATACAGGTCTTATCAAAAACTACGAAAAATAATACTATCTGCATAATTTTAAACATTCAATTTTAAGAATCGCGGGTAAACGTTTCAGTAACTGATGAACTTTAACTTGCAGAGGTGATTAGCAAGTAACTTCTCCCTATAATATCCATAAATAACCCCGCAAACAGGTAATGAGAATACTCAAACTTATCAGGCAGAAGTTGTAATCTCGATCTAACACCTAATTCTTGTAAATGATTCACAAGGAAATGTGTAGCAGCTAAAGGGGAGAATTAACAATCCAATCTTGGGAGCTAAAGGCTTAAACAGTTCACTTTTTTATTTTCATCCTCAGCCGCATTGCTGAGTCCGCTACCCATGATTCTTGTAGTGCGTTCAATACCACGCAGCTACAGTCTGAAAGAGCTTCCTTCCAAGATCTCGAGCGTAAAACAATTGGTCGAAGATTTGGCATCGTAGGAGCTGATGTCCTAGACCTTCAGGTAAATAGCAGCATGAGAATACGTACAAAAGAGCTGGATAATAATGAAAAGGAAAAGGTTTCCGTTGCCGTTATTTAGGCTGTTTTTCCTTTCTTAACCTCGTTCCTAGATCATTTCAACCCTTCCTCCCCTACTCATTTATAAGTGATTATGAAAAAAATATGAAATAAGGTGTTTCCCCAAACCCCCCTCCTCCCAAGTCCGTCCCTAAAGGAGAGGGGAAGAAAAGGAAGGAAGACAGAGCTTTCTTTCTCTCCTTTTACTGCATACCACGATGTTTCGATTGTATATTGCCAGTCTATTGGGCGATAACTTCACCTTATAAATGGACTGCCCTCTTAACGATTCTGTCCTTACTGAGATGAAACGTGTAATTCCCCCGTTCAGCTGCTTCACGTTTCCTTTAAATTAGTCTATAGGGTTAAGCGTTACATCAAAACAACACCCATTAGCAGTAAGTTTATTTATTTCCGAGTCCACCACCTCTTTGCTACATAATATAGTACTACACAGTAAATCGTTAGATGTTTAGAAACCCTTTCCACCCTAATGCATGCATATTCTCGATACTGTCCTCTGTACATTTTCTGTGCTACCGACAACGATTACTTGTGCAGTAATCAAGAGATATTCTGACAGGTGATACTTTCCTTTATTATCCAACTAAACTCCGAAGAGTACAAATGACGCCCTAGGCGAGCACAAACATCACGCGGTATTTTTACTCCAGAGAGCCAGTTAGACAGGCTTTCTCGCATCGCGCAAGGGACGGATTGGATTGAAGTAACGAAAAAAAATGGC